CTAATGGCAATGTTAGTCTCATCCAATCTACACTCCAGCGTCCACTGCTGATTGGCAGTTGCACTTCTGAAGATCGCCTACAGAAGCTTTCCAGATACAGAAACAAGAGGTCAAGGAGGAACTTTGGCCGGAAAATCAAGGTAAATTGGTGATCATTATGGGTTTTCCTTGGCAAGCTTAAGATTTGCATTTTTCTTTTGAGAATATCTCAGAATAATTGTCTTATATGGTATACCTGCTTCAGTATGCCTGCAGGAAGGCTCTAGCTGACAGTCAGCCAAGGATTCGCGGAAGATTTGCAAAGACTGAAGGTGCTGATTGCAAGAAGCAATGAGTAACAGAACAACAGATCTTAACGAGCAAATGTAGGAAAGAACATAGAGATAGACGACTTTTGAAAAATAACAGCCTTAGAATCGGTAGTGGTCTAAAAGCATAGCATCTATGAAGTATATGATACACCTATATATCAGGGTTTGCCTAATAAGTGTTAGACCACTAACCCTTGGAGCAAAAAAAGGAAAGTAGTAGGTAATCTTTTAATTGTTGTGATAAATTCCTTTCTAGTTTTAGTATAATTAGCTGCTTAGCTTAGATTTGTAAATAGGGAACAAAATAAGTTTTATGATGCTAATACCCTGTTACTATCAGCGTGTATCCGTGAATGAAAATGTCTGTTGTTACTAGTTCTTTTCCGTTACTGGCTTACTGCTGTTGGTTCTTTTTGCGAAACATATATTTGTGATCACAGGCGCAAAAACCAGGGCTAATGTAGGTATGTTTACCATGCTATCAAAAAATTGACAGGAGCAACTTGGAGTCCTGAAACCCCAGCTAGATGGAAGGTTTTTGGTTAGGTTGATATATACAGTACATATATAACAGACAAAAGTTTGCATGTTGTTGAGACTAAGTCAAGTGGGTCACTTGATGCTTATGTTTCTCAACAATTATTGTTGAATGATTTGTCAAAGACAAAGTGTTAATTAAGACTAAGGTGTCGTTTGGTTGCTATGGGAAATTACTTCCCATAGGAATTTGTATTTCATGGGAATTAAATTCCTACATCAAAATCATGGGAATTGTATAAAGTTGTTTGGTTAGCATTAGAGAAGTTGCAAATCATGGGAAGTTTGACTTACCTAGGGGGGTTAGGTAATTAACTTCCCATGTTTCCCATGAATTTGCAATTCCCTCATTTACACTTTTTATTATCAACCAAACAACTCATGTATTTTCAAATTCTCATGATTTACCACTTCCCCCATTTTCTTTGTGTAACCAAACAACCCCTAAAAAATCAGAAGGAAAGAAGGTTTTGTTTGCTGCTTGGTACTCTGATTGCAACAGAAATAGACCTTTAATTCAGATTTTATGTTTACTCCGTATATTATGAGCCACTAACTAGTACAGGTTATTTCCTGGAATATTATGCAGAAGCTTATCATGAAAGTATATCCTTTTACTTGTCCAAACGCTAGGATTTGCTTTCTTTAGAAATTTGTATGTTTTTGGTCCTGATACAATGCCATCATGCCAAGTATATTACCTAGCGTTCTCAATTTATTAAATCCTATGAATTTCCGCTTTTTCCATTTTATATACCATGTTGGAAAGTCGAGTATCCATATGATATACGACTAATATGAGTACTCTAGGTGAGAGTAAGTATCATTAAGGCACCAAAAACAATACCAAAGCTTTAATCTAATTCAAAGTATATCATGAGCTATAATCTGAACTTTGTTCTATTTTTTAAACATACTTTTTTTGAGGGGCTTAACGCTACTATGAGGTTGATGGCTGGATATTTATGTATTTAAAACTTCTCATTATCACTCAAGAATCTTATTCATGCAAATAAACTGTTAAACTTGAATACAACACTTCAAATTGATTTGAATAAAAAATAGTTCAAAAGGTATATGTTTCACGGATTATAACCCATACAATTCCTGCTTATTTGAAATATAATACTGTAGGAGCTAGGAGGGTTACATTAGGGATTTTTTTTTTAAAAAAATAAAAACTTTCAAGCTAGCAACAGGTTGAACCTTGACATTGTTCTGGTTTCTGTCAACTTAAGCACAATTCTTCGTTGGGAAGTAGAAACTAGCAAACCATGTAATATGTAAAATGTCCACTTTAACTAGAGGTGTTAATTTGAGTTATCGTTAGGGTTCAGCTCGATTCTAGTTGGGTAGAGTCATTTTGTATTTAAGTCATGTTTCATTATTATGTCCATTTGATCAATTTTTAAATCGGGTCTCTTTGGGTTAAACCCGCTTATTTCGTTTCGGACATATTTGACACCTTATTACCATGATACTTTGAGTGTATCAATTTATCATGTGTTAAAACTTGCAAGAATATGTTGGTCTAAACAAAGAAATTCTTTATAAATTGGTCTAATTAAAGATTAATCTTATAAATTCAGTAAAAGAGTCATCATCCTGTAGCCTTACCAAAAACATATAAGCAACCATATACTTGTACTTGTATAGTTTAACATGGCAAAAGAGTCTGCTTCTCTAATTCTGCAATTTCTTCTTCATTGTCTTCATCACAGGCTCATAGCCTACTAAACTTCAAGAACTATCTCTTTCATTCACCATCTTCTCCATACACCGAGGCTGCGACCGACATCCATTTCTTCCTCATCTCCTCATAGTCCACTTCTTGGACAAATTTCCATCTACACTTCCACTTTTTGAAACCAATAATTTCCATTTTAGATCAATCAAAGGCAAAGGCAAGACCGCGACAAGGTCTAAGCTAAGACACTCGACGAAAAGGCAGAAGGTGAGATTCTAAGCAGTCAAGTCCTCCACCACTTTTAAGCTAAGTAATCCAGCCAAACACGGTTGTCCCATGTTAATTAATCAAGCAATTAATACAAACTATATTAAGTAACGCTAACCAACAAATTCATTCAAGCCACAACTATATATACAAGGCAGCATTAAGACACGGACCACCACGATTATTGTTGCGTTTGAAGGTTGCTCTCAATTCTTTGCCCCCCCCCCCCCCCCTAAAACTAGAACGTTAAGACAGAGCTGAGGAAACCCGGATAAAGACCGCGTTTCCCATCCCATCCTCGTATCATCAGATATCGAACTTCAGTGGAAGATCGGTCTAAATCGATCTTCCGCCTTTTCTCCGGTACTCCGGTAGCCGGTACACCGGATTTTTCCGATACCACAATAATCTATATACGGTCGAAGCGAAAGATATACCAATTACCAAAGCCTAATGAAAGTTGCACAAGCTTAAACACTAGAAAGTCAAAAATACCACCTTAAGAATAACATATTAGTGCTGAAGGGTGTCTTTTTGGTAGACTTTTCCATTGTTTTCTTGCTTTCATCATCATTTTGGGATACTCTTTTGTCCTTTGACATTTTTTTTTAACATCCAACTCATTTTTTCATCTCATTCAACCATTTTCTTTCTCTAGCAAAACTTGTTATTCGCGAATTCAATTAATATTTATAGTCACAATTTCCAAAAAGTAAGAGAAAAACTCCGAAACACCGTGATAAATTATCCAAAAAAGAAAAAACCGAAACACTGCGAAATTGCTTGATTATATGAAGTTAAAACTGAGAAAATTGGTAAAGAAATTCGTAACCACAATTCTTCGAACAAACCATGTTTGATTGAACAAAAGCTTACTAAAATCTATTTTATAAGTCAAATTAATTATTGCCTTAATCCCCCACCAAATAACAAAAAATTACTGTAGCAAATTATTTAGGCTACCAACTAAAAACTTCAAATAATTTAAACTGTACTATTTTTAGAATCGTGAACATAAACTATATAAACAACCACGAACTTGCCACCTTCATTTCATAAACAGAAAATAACGTTAGAATAACATAACATAAAAATAGAAACCTCTTGCCATTAAAACTGCAGCTTAAGTTGAGGCCAGTAACAAATTCACAACCATGAAAAACCAAATTCGAAAACAGCTAACATCATCGTATCAATCCTTCAATCTTCAAACCACCATTAATCTCAACATGCTCAAAACATTCGGACTGATCGAAATTGTGTTACATACTTACATTACGAATTAACCTCGAAAAAATGCTAATAGCTTAAAATGCATACATTTTTGCATTACATATTATAAATAATCCCGTAAGTTTTTCTTTCATTCTTTCATGGCAGCCATGAAATTAGTTACTTTAATACCTAAGATTCATATAACATTAAATTTAACCGTATCATTTAATTTACACTATATAGTTATATAAATTTAAGACTAATCATGAGTGTCACAAACAAGATATAATTTCATTTCTCAAATTCCAAAGTTTTTGGAACCAAAAATTTAACTCACCTTCATCCATAGTTCATTTGCAGAAGAATTATAACAAACTTAAAAATTGCACAAATTGAAATTAATTTATAAAATTAATAATTAGAAAAAAAAAAGGGAAATTAGAGTAACGAGAGTTGGTTCTTTCTTTTCACGGAGGATAACGCCGACCCATCTTTCTCTCTTTACTTTCTCTCTCCTCTCAGTAGTCAATCCCCATACTTTCTCTCTCTAAAACCGATGAACATTTTTCGATTGATTTTCATTTTTTAGGGATTTTTAATTGTCTCTGTTTACATCAAAATCAGCGAACCCCCATAAAATTAGATCCCTTTTTCGTCTTCCTTTTTCTCTCTTTTGTCTCTGTTTAATTCAACTTTTTCTGAAAAAAATTTCCCCCAATTTCCCGCCTAATTCTGGTTCTTCTTCAAATTCCCAGAAATTGAAGAACCCTAATTGGCATTTTCTCTCTGTTATACTGTTATGTTTTTGTAATTTTTTTTTTTGTGATTGAGTGGGGTGTTAATTGTTCCTCTGTTGCTGCATCGGCAGATTTTTTTTTTTGGGGGGTGAGATTTGATATGTTAGGGTTTGTTAATTAGGGTTTCGAATTCGAAGATTGGTTGTTTTCGGATTTGAAATTCTGGGTTTGGGTTTGATAGTTGAGATGATTATCAAACGGAGCTTGAAATCGACAATGCCTACCCTAAAACGGTGTCGTGTTATTCAACCTTCGAAAACTGAGGATGAAGATAGCAATGATAGGAAGAAGCGCAAATCCAAGAGCTATAATGGCAGCAATAACAATGGAAGCAATAGTAGTAACAGTAATAATAATGGTGGGAATTACTTCCCTTTGAGTCTTCTCGGTGAAGTTGCTGCTGGTGTCATTCCTTTCAGTGGATTTCATCCGATTTTCTCTGATAATAATAACAATAATGCCGATTTCCGGGGTTTCGCAGCGTCGTGGTGCAGCGAGGTTTCGTGCTCCCCTGCCGAGGAGGAGGATGAAGATGAGGATGAGGACGATGATGATGATGAGGAGGAGGATGGGAGGAGGGGCAGTTTGAGTAAGGTGAAGACTCGGCATGTCGCCGAGGTGGCGAAGGAGAGTCCGAGACCGCCATTAGTGAGGACTTCGAGAGGCCGAGCTCAGGTACTTCCTTCCAGATTTAATGATTCAATACTTGATGATTGGAAGAAGGAGAAGACTAGTAAGAATAATAATAATAGTAATGCTGTTAGTTATAGAGAATGTAATGGTGATTTTGATTATGATACTAATAATGATGATGAAGATGATTATGTTGGTGTTAGGAAGAATGAAAAATTTGGGGTTAGAGCTCAAAAGGGAAAGGTTTGTGGGAGTAAAAATAGGGGTAATGTGCATAAATTTGAAGATGATACTTGTGGTGTTTCGACGTCCACTGAGGAGTGTGGGTATGGTAATGGTTTCTATGATGATGAGGAGGAAGATTATGGGTGGAGAGGTGGGAGGTCGACGAATCATGAGGCGAGGAGGTACTCGAATTCTCGTAGTACTTTAACGTCGATTCGTGATAGAGGGCATTGGGTGGAATATGAGAAATCTGCCGTTGGTTATCATGGTAATAATGGCAGGTTGATGAGGGATCATAGAAGAGAAAATGGTGGGATGGGTATGGATGAATTTGTTCCAGGTGATATAGTGTGGGTAAAATCGGGGAAAAATGATCCAGCTTGGCCAGCAATAGTTATTAATCCAGCATCGCAAGCTCCTCGACAGGTTTTGGAATTTCGTGTTCCTAGAGCAGTTTGTGTGATGTTTTTTGGTTATTCACAGAATCGGAAGCAAAGGGTAAGGATGAAATATCTGTTTGTTTTTACTTGTTATTAATGATAATGATACTTATGTTAGATGCATTTATGATTTTCGAATCTAATAAACTACCATGCTATGCAGGATTATGCTTGGGTAAAACGTGAAAGGCTTTTTCCATTTGCAGATAATGTGGACAGGTAATGATCATTGACTTCTGTTTTTGTGTAACTCTGAATTTCTTTGTGCTTGCATGTCTGCTGATATTGGGTACTCTTTTGATGAATTCAGGTTCCAAGAGCAAGCTTGCCAGAATGATTGCGAGCCCAGCAACTTTCACAGGGCGCTAGAGGAGGCTTTTCTGGCGGAAAATGGGTTCATGGAAATGCAGGAGATTAACATGGCAGCTGGAAGTGGTACTTGCATGAATTCCATTTCTAGAAGGGCACAGGGGGGTCTGGGCACTGGTAAAAACCAATACCAGGAAATGCACCATTATAGCCAGGTTAGTCTATATCTTTCTTTGACTCTGATTTATGATGATATCTTTATCTGGATATGTGGTGCTGTCTGAGCAATCTGGGAGTTATAAGTCATGCTTCAGGAATCTGGGTTTGTGGAATGTAAGGAAGGCATACTCGCTGAGCGTGATTTGGTTATTTCTTAGTTTGATAATTAGTGAGATTTTTTCTCTTCTAATTTTGTGAATGAACAATGTAGATGGTTCCTTCTGGGACTTAAGCTAAGATCCTGTATACACACTTTTCAAAAAATAATTTCATTATGACAATCCTTGTGCTGTCCTAGGCACCCTGGCTTAGTCCTTTTTGAAGGATAGTATCTTGCCCTGACTGGTTTATAAAGGATGTGCTCACACTGAAGTACTACTATTAACCATGCTATTACTTCTTTTGTGGAAATTCTGTGCAATTAGCCATCTCTTTTTTCTTTTAAAGTACTTGACTATGTTTACTCTTACATACAAGTGATAATATACAGTCAAAGTTTCCGTCAAAAAAAAAAAAAAAAAAATACAGTCAAAGTTTTCTAAGTTTGACCTTTAAAAGAGAAATGGTGCAACTAATTAGTAACGGAGGTACTATATACAAAGTACTATATTAGGACAGAGATTTTTAGTTTTTTTGAAGGGTTGATCTTAGTGCTCTATTCTCACTAGCAGTGTTGGGTGTGATTTCTTCTCTTTGCAAATCCTAACTGAAAGGGGTAGAGTTAAGAAAAGTAACCACACAAGCCCTGATTGAGGAGGGAGTATTTATTTGTGGGCATAGGCTGTGGTGGAGGTGCCGGACAAATTATGCAGTATTCACACACAGGACGGGCATAGTGAGCTCACTTCATAATGACTGAATAAAATTCTGGGATCAAAAGTTGTTGAAGTTTTAACTAATTTTTCTGCGTGTTTGAGGGGCTGAGCCATTTTTGTTTCATTAGTTTCAACCAAAATGTTTTCGACCTTCTAAGTTTTACTAAACTTTTTCAATGCTGCAGAATGGCTTTAAGAAAGCAAAAGACACACCATCCTGTGCAGGATGTGGTGCTGGCCTTCCACTTAAGATGAAGAAGGCAGGAAAGGCTTCAGGTTCTGAAGGCCACTTCTATTGTACAGCTTGTGCTAAGGTTGGTGGAATATGCAAATATCTTTCATTTTACAAGCTCTGTTCTTTTTCTATCAAGCTTTTATTTTACCGGAACAAACACAGTTTTTTCTGATGGCCTTCTCGCCTGATCCTCTTTGTTTATGAGATTGTGTGTGTAACGGTATGCAAGTAACATTTGTTGTATATGCTTGTCTAATTGACTAATTTTTCCTTCCTATTTCAGTCACTAAGATTGAAACAATATTGTGGTATTTGCAAAAAGATTGGAAATTACTCAGACAGTGGGAAATGGGTAAGACTACCTACATCTTGACAGTGTATGCGTTTTTCATGTTTGAGATTATTAAAGCAATCTTGATATCAAGTTAATTTGTTTTTGGATGATTTTAATCACCAGGTGAGATGTGATGGTTGTAAAGTTTGGGTCCACGCAGAATGTGACAGAATCTCAAGCAACCTTTTCAAGGTTTCTTTTCCTTGCTGAGCTACATTGAATTTCTAGTTACTAAAAAGAAGGTTTAATGTTTACTCTTGATGATGGCAGGATCTTGGGGCCACCGATTACTACTGCCCTGATTGCAAAGTGAAGTTCAACTTTGAATTGTCAGATTCAGAAAATCAAATTCGAGTCAAGTAAGTATTTTTCTCGTTAAGCATTATTATTTAGTTTGAATTTTTTCCAGTGTATAAAAGATATTACTTCCTATAATGTTTTTCCCTTTCTTTCAAGGTCTCTTTCTTGGGCAAAAAAGTTTAACGGCAAGTCCTCTTCTGTTCTTCAACGCAGGTGCTATAAAAATAATGATCAGTTTAAGCTGCCAGACAAGGTCAATGTTGTTTGCTCTGGCATGGAAGGCGTATATTTTCCTAGCTTCCATTTGTGAGTACTCTTCTTATGGCATGGACTTTTGAGAAGTGTTCTATCTCCCAAAGATATTGTTCTGGAAAATTTTCTAGTTTCCTTGTTTTCATATGGTATTTGATTGTATGTTTTGGTTATTGTTATGATGATCTATCCATTAATCATAAGATGTGATAAAATCCGTGAACTATCTCCTGAGCATAATAATTCACTTGGTAGGTCTGAAGAGTGAAATACCGCATGATTAATGACCTTTTGTTCCTTAACATGCACTTATTTATTTTCTCAAATTGGGCTGGTCATGGGAATGCTCAGGTGCTTCTTGATGTGGACTCTAGCTATGACTTTAACCTCAAATTCCATTCTTATGTTGTGAGTTGTGACAGTGGCAGATGGCGCTGTACTACGTTGTTTGATCTTGATGCGTTAACATGTTTGTTAATTGTTTACATACTCCCATTATTTCAATTTAATTTCTCTAATTACTTTTGTCTAGGAGAATAAGAATGGTTATTGAATGTAGCATAATAAATGATGAAAGTGGGTAGTGAGAAAAAATACGACATGGCTTTGGAATGGATGGAGGGAGATAAAGTGACTTCAACCTAAAAAGATAATGAGACTTCGTCTGGGACATCCTTAATAGAACTACAGAAGTTTAATAGCATGAATTATTTAAGGAAGGGAGTTTTTGTTTTGTTTTGTTGTTTTTGTTTTTGTTTTTTTGTTTTTTTTTTTCTTTGTCTGTGGTGAATTTGGATATAGCTGAAGCCTGTACTGCTGTATATCATGTAGAAAATATCACTGCAAGATCAAATTACCACATGTAAAACTGAGTGAAATAGACTTTGTAATTAAAAAAGTTTCGTAATCCTGAACTCAATATGGCCCTTCTAGCCTATACCACAGGTCCACAACTTCCTTATGCATTGTATCCAACATCTCATATTCCTTTAATTTGCATAGTTAAATTTAAGGACTACATATAATCTAATGATGAGAAAATTTTAGTGATTTTCTATTCCTCTACCTTTGTTTAGAGTTGTGTGCAAATGTGGATTCTGTGGGTCAGAGAAGCAGCAACTTAGTGAGTGGGAAAGGCATACGGGTTCGAAAGTGAAGAACTGGAAGACGAGTATTAGGGTCAAAGATTCGATGCTGACACTGGAGCAATGGGTATGTACTTCAGCACTTTATATGCAACATTTTTTAGTTTATAGTCCTTTTGCCCACGTTGCAGAAATGTTGCTGATGTGTAAAGTAGCTTGTACCAGCAATAAACTTGCAAACCACCATCTTGTGCCAAAACTTCTGTATTATGATAGCTTGAAGGCTTTGTTACGATTACAAGTGCTTATTATGGCATTGAGCTCATTTTCAAATGTTTGGAATATTAACATCTATCTGTCTCTTTCAGCTGCTCGCAAGAGTACTATTACTACTATAGCCTGTAGTTTAATGACTTATCCGTCTACATGGTAGCTGTAATTTAACAAGTCATTGTTCTTGATTACATATATTGATATACTAAAACTTGTTTTTTCCTTCTGTTTCTTCAGATGTTGCAGATGGCAGAATTTCATGCACAAGCTGCTGCTTCTGCTAAGCCTCCTAAAAAACCTTCGTTAAAAGTTCGAAAGCAGAAATTGCTATCTTTTTTGCAAGGTAATCGATGGTAATTGGATATCAATCAATCGATCAATCAATCAATCAAAGCTTTATACCCATAAGCGTGGAATAATAATAGGATATGTTTTACTATTATACATGGATAGAAATTATGTATCTATTTTGATGTTGACTGCGTTTTTGTTGCATTTACAGAAAAATACGAACCTGTTTATGCTAAATGGACCACCGAAAGATGTGCTGTCTGCAGATGGGTTGAGGATTGGGATTATAATAAGATTATTATTTGCAATAGGTACTTTGTCTGAAATCTGTTTGCCTGGGTCATTTACATTGTCTAGCAAGGATAATGGCAGGGGCTGTGTACACTTTAGCCTTCTGAATGATGAGATTTTCCCTTGTTTACGATTTCATAAAATTTAATCATTTTAAATTTGATCGTGTTTAGATGCCAAATTGCTGTCCATCAAGAGTGCTATGGAGCTAGAAATGTTCGAGATCTAACCTCATGGGTATGCAGAGCATGTGAGACACCGGAAATTGATCGCGAGTGTTGCCTTTGTCCTGTAAAAGGTATGCTAGCACTTATTTTAGACTGAACGTTGAAGGGATACAATGCCTTTTTGCATTAAATTTTATTTTTGTTGGGTCATTGTTTGTTTCTGATTTAGGCATTGGTGATTGCGGAAGCATGTGATCAGGATTGATCTGTATTGATTGACTATCTTTTTGAATTAGTTTTGCAGTTGAGCTTTCCTTTTATGACTGTCTTGTTAGTTAATTTGGAGAGGTGACCTTGCATTGACTGAACTATATCATGTCAGCCGCATTGATGTGGATCCAATTCACATCACTCATATAATGAACTCTTTTCCACCCCCTCTGCCCCCTTTCTGTTCTTTTTCCTATTGAAGACTTATTCAGAATAAGTTCATTCTTGGCCGTGTACTTGTGTTTTGGAGTCAAGCTCATGGAATGACTTTGTCTCTTATACAGGAGGTGCATTGAAGCCTACTGATATTGACACATTATGGGTTCATGTTACTTGTGCCTGGTTTAGGCCTGAAGTTTCCTTTGCAAGTGATGAAGAGATGGAGCCTGCTATGGGAATATTGAGCATTCCATCAAGCACTTTTGTAAAGGTATTTCATGAATTTATGGTGCCATTAATCTTGTATTATCTTTTAACTGAAATGCCTTAAAGGTCAATTACTTGCGTTTAATACTATTTCCATGTAATCTGGAAGCACTTAGAGTTTTTTTTTTTGGTACATATAATATGGCTCATATACATTATTCACCTTTGTGTTTTTATGAGCTGCAGGTGTGCATAATTTGTAAGCAGATACATGGTGCCTGTACTCAGTGTTGTAAATGTTCAACTTACTACCATGCCATGTGCGCATCAAGGGCTGGCTACCGCATGGAGGTACTGGAATTTTTTTTTTCTTTGGGTTATCACTACTACATCACTTGTTAGCAATTTTATTATGAGGTTGTAGAATGGTCTTAGAATGAGAATACTTTTGAACTAAATGTGCAATTTTTGGTGCGCTCACACACACACACACACACAAATATATATATATATAAAAGTCCATATATAGTGTAGCTAATAGTATGCAACTGCTTTATCACTTAGAGATCTATGAAATTGTATAATTGTCATCATCTCTCTCTGTTTTTTTTTTGGTATGTGAGTGTGTGTGTGTGTGTGTGTGCACTCCATCATCTTGTCTCCATTCAACCACCTTTCGAATTGTTTACTTTTTGGTATTTCATTCATATACCCCGATGAATTCGATCTTTACTTTCACAAAACGCCCCAAGTAACCATGAATTGGGAATCCTTTCTAAATTCAAGTATACATTTACATTGTCCAGCATTGTTGTTGTAGTTTTTTTTTTTTTTCCTTTTTTTTTTTGGGAGGGAGTTGTAGTTATTTTTAGTTGGAAGTAACAAGTGAGTGGCATTTTTTTCAATAGTACCAAAAGTTTAAGTTTTCTTTGCATTATTGCTCTTTTTTACATGTCAACTTATGTGTGGAGTGTTTTATTTTGGGTTATTTTCAATAATGGTGCTAAATTTGCCAATACCTTTTATTGCAGTTGCATTGCTTGGAGAAGAGTGGGAAACAGATTACTAAGATGGTTTCATACTGTGCTTACCACAGGTATTTGATAAAATAAAAGGGGGAAAATGGAAAGAGGAAGTAAGAGAATCATATGGCCTTTTGGACTAATTCTGTATATAATTGATGCAGGGCTCCTAATCCAGACACTGTTTTGGTTGTACAAACCCCGACAGGGGTTTTCTCCACCAAAAGTTTACTTCAGAGTAAAAAACGATCTGGTTCAAGGTTAATATCATCTACGAAGTCAGAACCTGAAGAGGCTCCAACACAGATCAGTGAAGCTGATCCAGACTCTGCAGCACGATGCCGAATATATCAGCGTTCCAAAAACAAGAACTGTAAGGTAGGCTTGAATTTTGTTAAACTAGACAAATGCCTACTATCTAAGCATTGTTCTTTTAGTCTGCCTTTGGTTATTGGGAGTTATTTAGTGTAATTTTGCTCTCTTGCTGAGATTCTTGATTTATGAACATGTTTCCTGGATGATGTGGAATTCATGATGTTCGATTCCTGACCAACTTACTCTGTATTTGCCTTATAAGATAGTGTTATCTTTATTTGGGTCTTTCAATTTCTTACATTTTTATTCATGGATGTTGCCTTTTACTTATATGATGCCTCCGATGCTTCAAATACGTTGCACCTGGAGCCTTGTAGGTGATTTCTAGCTTTGTGAGAATGGTAATTATGGTTTAATTCACTTTTTAGGAGAAAGGGTACAATATGATGCTTATCACTTTAGCTATTGTCTTATCTCTTTTGGCTTAATTAAATTATATAAGTTTAATTGTGGTACAATTGCAAAAGGCTCGTAAGTATCTTATGTTGTGATTTTGTGCTAACTAGAGGGCAGAAGAAGAAGCTGTTGCTCACAAAGTTAGGATGCCTTGTCATCATTCTTTGCGAGAGATGGAACGCGTGAATGCATTTAAAGTAAGCATTGTACTTCTTTAATATATTCCCATTGATGTTTGATTATATAATCTATCTTTATGTGGGCCTGAGCAAAACTGAGTGAGGCAAATTTTCATTTCCAATTTTGCAGGTGGTAGAATATCCTAAGACATTTTCAACTTTTAGAGAGCGGCTATACCATTTACAGGTGAGGGCTTATATTGTCAACTAATAGCTATTGGCTTTAGTTTCTTAAATTTGATTCTGAAGCTTAGCATTTGCTCTGAGTGCAGAAAACTGAGAATGATCGAGTTTGCTTTGGTAGATCTGGAATACATGGGTGGGGGCTCTTTGCTCGCCGTGACATTCAGGAAGGAGAGATGGTCAGTTATTTTTGTTTATTTGCATATAATGGTGAACTGCTCTATGGTGGTTTCTGCCCTTTTGAAGCTGCCATAGTTTTCTGTCACTGTTAACTACAATATCTGTGTTTTCAAATCCTCACACTTTAAGTTACATATTTGTGACTTTTTAAAATTGGTGCTGCCTATGCATTATCATCTGGTTTCAGGAATTATATAAATTGTTATGATATGCATCTGCATCTGCTTTATGAAAACAAAAGCATAAAGTATGACACTCAGAACCAATTTCTCTAGTTCTAAATCTCTACACGATCTTCTGGAAAAGATGCTTTTAAATTTACAATGAGTTTATCATTTTGATTGTACATTATGCATGAGATATTTTGGGAGGATATGTAGGATATAGTAATCAATCTGCATTTCTCCCTTCATGAAATAATTGTGGGCTTGTTTCTTCAGAATTAAATTGTCTGACATGCACTCTTTAGGTTCTTGAATATCGTGGAGAGCAAGTGAGGCGCAGTGTTGCAGATTTGAGGGAGGCTCGTTATCGGATAGAAGGAAAAGACTGCTATGTGAGTTACTCGTGGTCCAGTATTTTTGGTGCACTAAAACTCAGTCTCTATTTGACAATTAAATTTCTGTTCTGTATTAAAGTGACTAACAATTTCTTCACCAAATTATCTTGTGCTTAATAATCATGTAGAAGTAAAGTCTTCACTAATTAACTTGCGCTTTTTAATTATGTATAAATAATTGGTGTCAGTATGTTTCCTAATTACTATGAGAACAGCTTTTGCACTCAGTTGCAAATTTGCAGATACGTAAACCTTATCTAGATGTATGCCTGAAACCTTGTCATAGCCACCTGAATTGTGACTTAGCATAATTTGTGGATCTTACAGGGTAGTACAACGGGAGATTGAACAAAAGGACATTGGATGTAAATGAAAAAAGATAAATTATGCTTTTTAATGTGGCCTTACTTGACATGTTTAAGAGCAATTTTGTTGATTTGATACTACTTTACATGTTTTAAAAGTTTTCTTTTTTTAAAATGGAACATGGGAATAAATTTGCAATTTGTACTTGTGGATTTTGGAACACTCCCTAGTCATTTTGTGCAATATTTTATACATTCTATTTGTGGCTTTATTTCTGAAAATATGAAATTGTAACATGAATTGTTTCTGACAATCAATGCCCTAGTGCTAATTTGTATCAATAATATTGCAACAGCTGTTTAAAATCAGTGAAGAAGTAGTTGTGGATGCTACAGACAAGGGAAACATAGCTCGCCTAATCAATCACTCGGTAAGTTATTTTTACACAGTTACTGTATTGCTTCCATCCCTTGCTCATACCTCAGCAAAGTTCTCTTTTTTTTTCGTTACTTATGCGGGGTATGACCGATTTATTGGGAGTTTGGGACTTCCTGCTTTAATAGAATTATCTGTCTTGTAAGCAAATTCTATGGAGTTGGGACGGACCGTATATGAAGTTTAAGAGGAACAAGTTAAATATCTTATTTTTTTTTATACTATATATATTGAAATATTGCTTACTGAAGTATCAATTCATTTATAATTGCAGTGCATGCCAAACTGCTATGCAAGAATTATGAGTGTAGGTGATGATGAGAGTCGAATTGTTCTTATTGCCAAAATGACTGTTCCAGCTGGTGACGAGCTAACGTATCTCTCTCTTTCTCTCTTGCCTTAGCACGCACTTGTGTATTTTTAGTTTTCACTTTGATTATATCTCTGCATATATTTATCTATCTTGGAATGTTCATATGGCAGGTATGATTACTTGTTCGATCCCGACGAGCCTGACGAGTTTAAGGTGCCCTGTTTATGTAAAGCTCCAAACTGTAGAAAGTTCATGAATTAGGCTACAGCATACACATTGTTTCTCCTTGCGGAGTTCTAACCTGCTCGTCTTCATCACCTGGATTTTTAGGCTTAACCTATTTGTAACCCCTTTTTGGCCTCTTACCAAATGTGTATAATCCCCTCTTTGTTTTAATAAAAGTGCCCCTTGAAAAAAAAAAGGAAAAAGAAAAGAAAAGAAATGGAACAAAAAGAAAGTATATGTAGTGTGTTTATTAGGTAGGTAGTCTTGATGTATATGGTTAGTACACAATTTTTTTGTCTTAATTTTGTTGTTAAAGCATTTTCCTTATGCAAATAGCTTAAATGTAATAGTTGGCTTCAGAGCCTTCAGTTCTCTTTGTTTCCTCATTACAGTTATACAATGTGATGATATTTTAAAAGATGAATACATGATAATCTATTTCAAAGTCGAGGTAGTTGGTTGCATCTTCAATTAATCTTCAATTACTTATCAGCAATTATACTTGCATTTTTTTCATGGATTATAGCTTAGCAAAAGTTGAAGATGGGTTGTTCATATTATAGCAAAAGGGTTATCATAGATCAAAGTCGAGGTAGTTGGTTGCACCTTCAAGTTTCACGTCTTGGTGGACAGCAGCAAACTAGCTCTCTTCTGTCAAAATAAGTTGCCTCTCTGAATCAGAACGACTGCTGTTGGAAACCATCTGCAACAGTCAAAACTTTGAAAATTCAGTAAAACAAACAAACCCTTTTATCCTACCAATTTTAATCTCCTCTTCTTCATCAACCTCAATATCAACATCTAACTTAACCAATTTGTTTTTATTTCTAGTAAAACCTGCAACATTATCCTAATAATGGTGATTAAGGTTTAAATTATGTATAAAGAGGGATTCAATGGGTGGACCTGGGTAAGAAAGTAAGGGTTTTTTACAAAACTAAAATTTTTATGTAATTAAGGATGAAATTTGGAGAAGAGATAGAAGAATACCATGGTTTAGAAACTACTTTTTTTTTTTTTTTTTTTTTTTTTTGAAAGGTGGTTCGGAAACTACTTTGACTTGGGTTAAGAGTGTGATGGGTGAATATGGAAGAATGTGTTGAATTATGAGATCATTTGGAAGGTGCCTTTGTTGAATATCTTCTCTTTTAGCTTTGTTGCTCTTCTTGTCTTCCATACATCTGACCTTGTAGAGTTGTATGATTTGACTTGATGGTATGATTAGAGCTGTCAATTTTGGTAAACGGGTTGGGTTTGGGTCGGGTAAGAGTGTGTCGGGTCAACTTAGGTCGGGTCAATTCAGATTAATTCCATAACCTATGTGGGTCAGTTTTGGGTTGGGTTATGCTTGAGTCGGGTCACATCGGGTCATACTTCTTATCGGGTTTGGGTCGGGTTTAGGTAGGGTTAATAACAAGTCGGGTTACATTTGGGTCGGGTGAACAATAGGTCTGGTTTAATTCGGGTTTTCACGGGTTAGGGTGATTCTCGAGTTCGAGTCAGGTTCGGTTCAAATAAATAATTTGCGGGTTAGAATCAGGTCGGATCATTCTCGGGTTTGAGTCGGGTTCGGTTCAAGTCAATAATGTGCGGATTATAATCATGCAGGTCAGGTCATTTTCAAGTCGGGTCATTCTCGGGTTTAGATTGGCTGTTTAGAGGCAAATTAGTTGTTCCACCCACCCAATTGGACTACCGGACGGTATTTAGGACCATGGTAAACATTTCGACAATTTTATTTTCGGGCGAAAAAAGTTAAAAAATTCCAAAATTAAAGGCATTATCCCTATGTTTTGAAAATTTTTTAAGGTTTCGGGGCCCGATGTCGAAAAGTTTTGAGATTTTAGGGGATACATCTCAAGGTCATATAATACTGTTTTGAACCATAAATGATCATTATATGTTGTCATAAATGTTTGTGGGATGCTTGAGTTAATAAAATCGGTACAAGTTGTAAACCGGTAAATTCGCCATTTTAAAGAAAATTGGATGGTTCCACTCACCTAATTGGAATCCCATATTGTATTAGGGACCATAGTAAACATTTCGGAAATTTTTATTTATAGGCGAAAAAAGTCAAAAAATTCCAAAATTTAGGGCTAATATCCACCCTTTTTGAGAATTTTTGGAAGTTTCGAGATCCGGTATCGAAAATCCTTGAGATTTTAGAGGATACATCTCGGGGTCATATAATGCCGTTTGGAACCATATATGATTAATATATGTTGTCATAAATGTTTGTGGTAAGCTTGATTTAATGAAATCGGTGCAAGTTGTAAATCGGTAAATTTGTCGTTTAAAGGCAAACGGGATGGTTCCACCCATCCATTGGGACTCCCGGAGGGTATTAGGGATTATGGTAAACATTTCGGAAATTTTTATTTCCAGGCAAAAAAAGTCAAAAATTCCAAAAATAAAGGCTAATATCTATGCTTTTTGAGAAAATTTTGAGGTTTCGGGGCCCGGTGTTGAAAAGGCTTGAGATTTTAGGAGATACATCTCGGAGTCATATAATGCTGTTTGGAACCATATATGATCATTATATGTTGTCATAAATGTTCGTGGTAGGCTTGAATTAATGAAATCGGTGCAAGTTGTAAATCGGTAAATTGGTTGTTTAAAGGCAAATTGGACGGTTCCACCCACCCAATTGGACTCTTGGAGGGTATTAGGGAATGTGTTAAACATTTCGGAAATTTTTATTTCCGGGCTAAAATAAGTCAAAAAATTCCAAAATTGAAGGCTAATATACACGCTCTTAGAGAAATTTTAGAGGTTTCGGGGCCAAGTATTGAAAAGGCTTGAGATTTTTAGAGATACATTTCGGGGTCTTATAATGTCGTTTGGAACCATATATGAATATTAAATGTTGTCATAAATATTCGTGGTAGACTTGAATTAATGAAATCAGTGCAAGTTGTAAATCGGTATATTGACCATTTAAAGGAAAATGGATGGTTCCACCCACCCAATTGGATTTCCAGAGGGTATTAGAGACTATGGAAAACATTTCGGCAATTTTCATTTTCGGGCGAAAAAATGTCAAAAAAAATCCAAAACTAAAGCCTAAAATCCATGCTTTTTGAGAATTTTTTGAGGTTTCAGGGCCCGGTGTCGAAACGGCTTGAGATTTTAGGGGATACATCTCACAGTCATATAATGTCGTTTGGACCCATATATGATCATTATATGTTGTCATAAATGTTCGTGGTAGGCTTGAATTAATGAAATCGGTGCAAGTTATAAATTAGTAAATTGGTCGTTTAAAGGCAAATTGGACGGTTCCACCCACCCAATTGGACTCTTGGAAAGTATTAGGGAACATGGTAAACATTTCGGCAATTTTTATTTCCAGGCGAAAATAAGTCCAATAATTCCAAAATTGAAGGCTAATATACACGCTTTTTGAGAAATTTTGGTGGTTTCGGGGTCAGGTATCGAAAAGGCTTGAGATTTTTAGAGATACATCTCAGGGTTTTATAATGCTGTTTGGAACCATATATGAATATTAAATGTTGTCATAAATATTTGTGGTAGACTTGAATTAATGAAATCAGTGCAAGTTGTAAATTAGTAAATTGGCCATTTAAAGGCAAATTGGATGGTTCCACCCACCCAATTGGATTACAAAGGGTATTAGGGACTGTGGAAAAAATTTCGGCAATTTTCATTTTCGGGTGAAAAAAAGTCAGAAAATTGCAAAATTAAAGGCTATTATCCACACTTTTTTTATAAATTTTTAACGTTTCATGGCCCGGTGTCGAAAAGGTTTGCGATTTTAGGAGATACATCTCCCAGTCATATAATTCCATTTGGAACCGTATATAATCATTATATCTTGTTATAAATGTTCGTGGCCGGCTTGAATTAATGAAATCGGTGCAAGTTGTAAATCGGTAAATTGGCTGTTTAAAGGCAAATTGGATGGTTCCACCCAACCAATTGGACTCCCAGAGGATATTAGGGACCATGGTTAACATTTCGGCAATTATTATTTCCAGGCAAAAAAAAGTCAAAAAATTCCAAAGTTAAAGGCTAATTATCCACACTTTTTGAGAAATTTTGGAGGTTTTAGGGGTCGGTATCGAAAAGTCTTGAAATTGTGGGGGATATATATCAGGGTCATATAATTCCATTTGGAACCATATATGATCATAATTTGTTGTTATAAATGTTCGTGGTAGGATTGAGTTCATGACATTGGTGCAATCTGTAAACTGGTAAATTGGTCGTTTAATTGCAAATTGGATGGTTCCATAATTCCAATTGGACTCCCGGTGGGTATTAGAGACCATGGTAAACAATTCGGCAATTTTTATTTCCGGGCGAAAAAAAAGTAAATTAATTCCAAATTTGAAATCCACGCTTTTTGAAAAATTAGGGATGTTTCGCGGTCCGGTGTCGAAAAGTTTTGAGATTTTAAGGGATACATCTCGGGGTCATATAATGCCGTTTGGAACCATATATGAGCATTATTTGTTGTCATCAATGTTCGTACGAGGCTTGAGTTGATTAAATTGGTGCAAGTTGTAAACTGGTAAATTGGCCGGTTAAAGGCAAATAGGATGATTCCACCAACCCAATTGGTCACCTAGAGGGTATTAAGGACCATGGTAAACATTTTGGAAATTTTTATTTCTGGACGAAAAAAGTAAAAAAATTCCAAAATTGGGGGCTAATATCCATGCTTTTTAAAATTTTTTGAAAGTTTCGGGGCTGGTGTCGAAAAGAAATGAGATTTTAGGGGATACATCTCGAGGTCATATATCTCCGTTTGGAACCATAAATAATCATTATATGTTGTCATAATTGTTTGTGGTAGGCTGAAGTTAATGAAATCGATGCAAGTTGTAAACCGGTAAATTGGTCGTTTAAAGGCAAATTGGATGGTTCTACCCACCCAATTGGACTTCCAGAGGGTATTAGAAACCATGGTAAACATTTCAGCAATTTTTATTTTTGGACAAAAAAAATTCAGAAAATTCCAAAATTAAAGGCTAATATCCACGCTTTTTGAGAAATTTTGGAGGTTTCGGTACCCGGTGTCGAAAAGGCTTGAAACTTTAGGGATTACATCTCGGAGTCATATAAAGCCATTTGGAACCATATATCATCATTATATGTTGTCATAAATGTTCGTGGTAGGCTTGAATTAATAAAATCGGTGCAAGTTGTAAATTAGAAATTGGCCGTTTAAATGCAAATTGAATGGTTCCCTCCAACTAATTGGACTCCCAGTGGGTATTAGGGAACATGGTTAACATTTCGGAAATTTTTATTTCCGGGCAAAAAAAATCAAAAAATTCCAAAATTGAATGCTAATATCCACACTTTTTGATAAATTTTGGAGGTTTCAGGGCCCGGTGTTGAAAAGTCTAGAAATTATAGGGGATTAATCTGGGGGTCATATAATGCCGTTTGGAACCATATATGATCATTATTTGTTGTCATAAATGTTCGTGGACTAGTGGTACGCTTGAGTTAATGAAATCGGCGCAAATTGTAAGCCGGTAAATTGGCTATTTAAAGGCAAATTTGGGTTCCACTCACCCACCCAATTGTACTCCCGGAGGGTATTAGAGACAATGGTAAACATCTCGGCAATTTTTATTTTCGAGCGAAAAAAAGTCAATAAAGTCATTTTCAAGTCAGGTCATTCTCGGGTTCAAGTCGGGTTCGGTTTTAAGTCAATAATTTGTGGGTTATAATCAGGTTGGGTCATTTCCAAGTCGGGTCATTTTCGGAGTCAAGTCAATTTATTTTCAAGTCAATAATTTGCAGGTTACAATCAGGTCGGGTCATTTCCAAGTCGGGTCATATTCGGGTTCAACTAATTGTAAATAGATAATTATCATTTTTATCAAGCTAATTATTTCCTTTGACTATCATATACATTGCAATATAATAGGGAACTATAGTTTATAATTTAGGAAGATAATTATCTACTTTGACCATACAACAAATATATAATCCCTCCGTGTTTTTTTAAGTGTTACAATTTCCATTTCCGATCGTGTTTTTTAATTGTTGCACTTCCTTTTTTGGCAAAAAGCTACATTATAAATATTATATCTCTCTCTCCTCTCATGGCCCCCACCCAAAACCACTACTACTTTTTTTTATTATATCTTTCCTCTCACATTCATTAATTTTCAATAAACTATTAACCCAACTATCTTTCTTTTACAATTTTTTAATACTCCAACTACTCCAGTTACCTCTTATTTTATTTAAGTCAATTAAATTGCATAACACTATGTGCCGGTCAAACTGTAACACTTAAAAAAAACGGAGGGAGTACTATATTTAACTCTTAAATTTGAGGATGGTGCTCCTTTCTTTTGCTGGCCTGGACCGACTTGGTCTCCCTAGACAAAATGCTTTGATCAACAATAATAAGGTGGTCTAAATTGCATTTAAGGTGATTTGAAATCGGGCAAGGAACAATTTGTGTTGAATCTAGGTCGGGTTAATAACAAGTCGTGTTGATTTCTAGTCGGGTTAGTAACAGATCGGGTTGAATTTTAGGGTCAGGTTTGTAATATGTCTAGCAAAATTCGGATCGGGTCAATAACAAGTCGGGTTGAATTTGGGTCAGGTCAATAACAAGACGAGTTGATTTTGGGTCATGTTTGTAACAGGTTGGGTTAAATTCGGGTCGGGTTGAATTCAGGTGAGGTTAGTAAAAAGTCGGGTTAAATTCGGGTTTTGACGGGTTAAAACGGGTTTGGGTCGATTTCGGTTCAAGTCGGGTTCGGTTCAGGTCAATAATTTACGGGTTACATTCGGGTGGGGTCATCTCTAGGTCATTTAATGTTCGTGTTCAGGACTCACATATTCGGGTCAACGTGGGTCTAGGGTTGGTTTCAGGTCGGATTTAGGTCACCATTTTTTCGGGTTCAGATGGATCGATTAATAGTCGGATTTGAGTAGTGACTGTAGGTCTTTAGTGTAATATAGACTATGAAAAGTTGGACCAATTGTCCACATTGTGTTGGGAGTTTGGGACCAAGGTTGATCCTTTGTTTTTTTATTGGCATGTACTCTCTATGTCCCTTTATTTTTGCCCCATTGTCATTTTTTGGTCAAACTTTATAAACGTTGACCGTATATTACTCTTAATCTATAAGAGATTCGGCTCATTATATATTTTATTAATATTAGGTTTTTATTATTTTAACATGTATGAGAATAAAGATATGTGCGTTCTAAAACGCGACTTAGAGACCGTGAAAAGTCAAATGGGGCAAAAAAGTAAGGACGGATGGAATAGTACATAATTCTTTATGTTAATGTGTGGAACTGTGGACCACCTTTGATCAATAATACGAGTGTCTATATAATCATCATCATCACCAACTCACCAAGTGTAGGGCAAATTATACTCCATACTTCATATTCCACATAAATTTGATGAAAAATATATACACTACCTGTCTACATACATTGAAACAATCGTAACAAGTAACTATATATAAATATACTGAGACCAAGTAACTATATTTTTACTTTTATTTAAAGCACTTAGAATGCTCTTAAAATTTGCCCAAATAATATGGGAATAATATAAATAAAAAGATATGGGTATTTAACAAATCCAAAGGAAAAGTTTAAAATTATCTCTTAACATTTGCCCAAATATTTCTTTTTATGCTACCCGGTTGCAATGATCATTGAGGTCGGTAAGAAGAAGCCAAAGGCTGAGTTAATGCCATGTCTACACATACGCCACGGATTAATTGCCAATAAGGTACATATCAATATTATTTCTGAATGCAGTAAATTATTTGAAACTGAAATCATGATTATAGATGGAACAAGTTGTAAACAGACTTTCATAGCTCAAAACAGAGGTCAGTTGCGCCATTGAGCTTCACATCTCCACATACACCGCCACAGCGGCAAACTATCTTCTGTCAAAATCATTCTGCAATCCTGAATCAACAAATAGAAACCTGGTTAGAGACTAATCTACAGAATTACGATCTCAGCAGTAAAGTTGCATCAACTGTTGAAGAAACAAACCCTGCAGTTATTAAGTGTGTCGTTTGTAACAATAAAGTTCTCGTACCAAAACCGAAAAGTTCGTAAGCTAAATCAAAGACAACATATTAAGGAAGATGCACATTGGAAACAGAACGTCCAACATTTTACAACAGCAGTTATACCTACTAGCAGTTCTTCATGGATCACATAGCTTAGCAAAAGTTTAAAATAGCTTTTGTCAATATAACGGCAAAAACAGTTTCATAGATCAAAGGTTGTAGGTTGCATCTTCAAGTTTCATGTCTTGGTGGACAGCATGTCAATAGGTTTATGCAACCTGCCTAGCTGAATCATCAGAACAACTGCTGTTAGAAACCAAATTGTAACAGTGAAGCTTCAAAAATTCAATACTAGATGAGGCATGTTAAGACTTGAAATAAGGGTAACTGGTGAAAAATTTTGACAGAACTGCTTCCAATCACTGAAATTGAGTTGCATCTATTACTTTATTTGATAAGAGTTGCATCTTAGCAGTAGCATTAATGTGTTATAGGAGTCACTTGACTAAACAATAAGATACACTAAAATTTAGCATTCTGTACTTGAAAGTCAGAAACTAAAATGCAGGCCAATTAAGTGCTCGAGCAAAGTTGATCAAACAAGTGGAAGAAGGCATCTTTTAAGCCTCACAAGCATATACCACGTATTCTTTAAACCATGAAATCAAAGTGGCAAATTTACATCCATTGTCATATTTAAACAGCTTGATTTAAACTTTCAAGAAAACAAAAGACAATGGATTTAAATTTAAAAGTACCTCTCCTATTACATTTGTCGAATCTGTAGTAGGATGAGGTGAAATTAGACCCGAAACATACCATCAATCTCATCTCACCCTTAACCTTCAAATGCAAAAATTGGTTTTTTTGAACTTGAACAACCAAGCCTAGCATTAGAGGATATTGAAAAGCAACATCCACCTTACCAATCTTTGTGAACTCGGTCATGTCTCTGATATCACTGTCTAAAGTCAAATGAAAAACAAACAGAATCTACGTCTCCTGGATGTTTCATAATGTCTATAACCTATTCATTTTCAGCATTGAGAGTACACTTGGATAAGCACCCTCCCATGACACATAAGATAGCACGTTGCCCCGTGGCAAATGCAAAGACAAGTGAGGGAACAATTCATATATTTCAAGAGCAAGACCAAAGGCAATAATTCTCAATTCATATCTCAAAAGCAGTCCAGTACAAAGTTTTATTGACCAATTTTGGCCGTTTAATATAATATATCCATTAAATCCAAATTCAATCTTCTTCCAAGAGTAAAATTTCAATGAGAAAACATGAATTGATTTGGCTCAATTGTTGAATAATTCCCACCACCTTATGATCATTCAGAGAGGTTACATACTCAAATCCCCAAATAATACTGAAAAAAGATAGAAGTATTTCAACTTCTAGAAACAAGGTTTTATATTTATGATATTGATTAGTAGCAGGGTTGTATAATATAACTACTCACTCAAATATAATTCGACCCAAATAGCTCAAATCACTTCAAATAACAAGTCACAGCCATAAAAGCTTATACTATTTAAAAAATGTATGCATAAGACACATCATGGTCTGTAACAAGTAATAAACAAAGTTACTCCATGCAATTCAAGCCATAACAATTTAGAACATCATTTAAACACATACATTCATTGATTTCATTCCATCATGGATCATTGATAAAGATAAAGTTAAATAGCTCAAAACATATATTAGTATTAACAAATAAATTATACAATTTTAACATATTTAAAGCAAGAAGTCAAGAGAGGATGTTCTTAACATAACAAAGAGTCTCATAGTTCTAATCAGAGGCCAGTTACGTTATTGAGCTTCACATCTCCACAGACAACGCCACAGCACAAAAGCAAAACCGAGAAAGTCATAAGCTAAATCGAGACAATGAGCTAAAGGAAGCAAGTAAAACAGAACAAATAAAAGGCAAAGGCATAGGGGTACCTGTTCTAAAGCATTGGGCAACTCCACACTCCACAGGAGGAAGAGGTGAAATTTGACTCGGAACATAACTCGCCATATAAGTGCTCCCCAGGTTTTCATTAGTTTCAAATGTCACAATTGATTTCATTGAACTCGAAACAACCAAGCATGGCACCCAGCAACGAGGATAAACAACAAATATCTTGCCAGCCTCTGTCAAGCCGATCAAATCATCAAACACAGTGTCTCTCACATCAGAATAAAAACCCTTAACCACGACTCCCGGTCGTTTCACAATGTGTATCACCAAATTATCATGAGAGTTGCGAACGCAAACAGATAAGCACCCTCCCATGACACATAAGGATAAGGTAGCATTCTCGGGTGCTCGAACAGCCAAATCAGTGAGCATAGCAAATGTCTCAAGACCCAAATCAAAGGAAACAATTTGTACATCCCCATTACCATTATCATCCTCCTTTTTCCAATACAAAGTCTCATTAACCAACCTTGATCGACCCACTAATCTACATTCACCAACATCAAATTCAATCCTACTCCAAGTATTAGTCCTCAATGAAAACACATGAACTGAATCGATCTTGGCTCGAAACCGGAACTGAGCGATTCTAACCACCTTATAGTCATCAAGAGAGGATACATAACCAAACCCCCAACAAATATCCCTAGAATTTTGCTCCAAAAATTCAAAATAATATTTATGAAATTGATTAATTTCAGGGTTCCATAAAATGAAATATTTTCCATTCATTTCACCTAAACAAATCAACCCATTACATGATCCTGCCAATCCAATACTTTCCCTCCTACCAACACGAAAATTAGCATTTAATTCAACCAAATTATACTGACTAGTACGAACATATTCAACCTGAACCTCATCATTATCATGATTATTGCATGTATAAAGGTAAAATGTTTTCCCAGATTGAATAAAGAGAGTTTCAATTGGGGTAAAAGGGTCACTAAAAATAGATTGTTTGATATGATCCAAGAAGAAATTGACATTAAAATTCCATTGCTTTGAAATTAGCTTACATCGGATTAGCGGTTTGGGAGGAAGGCGCGTAAGAATGTGTTGAGTTATGATTTCATCAAGAAGTTGTATTTCTTGAACATCTTCTCTTGATTTCTTCTTTTTGTTCTTATCGCTTTCTTCCATTTCTCTCACTGTTTGTGTTTAGTTTCAAGAATGAGGTCTCAAAACTGCCTCTTTTTATGTTTTCAATGTAACTGTGATAAATTTTGTTCCGGAAAAAAAGATATTACAGGTCAAAGTTTTATTTCCCGGTAATAATTTATGTGTTGTTGTAAAGGTTCAAGAATTAATACTCCCTCCGTCATTTATTGATAGTTTTTTATGAATATTTTTTATTGAAATTAATAAATGTAAAAAAAGTAGTACGAAGTAACATTAAAAAGTAATTAACATTGGGTATGCATAAAAAAGTAGAGAGAAAATAATAAAAGTACATGAAAAAACAAAATTTATATGAGAAATTTAAATTTGCACAAATATCGTTGCAAATTAGAGGAAATTTTAGTAAAAAAAATTTGATATTAAAGGTACTTCAAAAAAGCAAATGGGACTATTATTTTGGAACTTAAAATTGGTCATAAAAGACTATAAGGAACGGAGGGAGTACAACGATTAGTTTTTATGACCTTTTATTTCACCCACCAAATTTATTGAAAAGTAAGTGAGATGTTTGGAAATAAAACAAAATATATTAAAGATATACATAAAATAAATAAAAGAAATCAAGAAATTAAAGAACACAGATATTTATTTCCTTAAAAGGGAAGATGATGTAGCAATTAAAAAACAAATGACGTATTAGAGATAGTAAGGACATGTTCACCTTAGTTGCAGTTCAGCTCCAATCAATTCAATTCAGCTCCTAATTTTCTTCTCTTATAAAATATTCATTTCAGCTCAGCTCAATTAAGTTCAATTCAGCTCCGATCAGTTCAGTTCAATTCGGTAAATGTAAACATGCCCTAGACGTGAATAATTTTTATTACTCAATATGTGGAATGGTGCATGTTGGAAAGCCTAATCCATAATCTAAATGGTAGGCTTGATCAATAATCATAAATTCATAAGTAGCCCAACATGCCCGGCCGACCTTAACCTTTGGCCCAAATTGAGCCAACATTTTTAGCCCATGATCACCTTTATTAGTAAATGGTATTCCTTTTGCCCTTCCATCTCATCCACCCAAGTCTTCCATTTCAATTTTAATTGCAAAACAATCTAAATGCTTGACTGCTAGTTTATCTCACATAGCTAAAGAGGAGTTAAATGTCCTAGTGAACTTTCTAGGAAAATGTCATACTGATACTGTTTTTTTGGTTGAAACTAAGGGAAGCAAGAGTAAATTGCAAGCTTAGAATATGAGCTCACAGGCATAAATTCAAACAGCCTAGATTAGGTGCTCTGATCTAGTTAAGATCGTAGAAGGATAGACATGAAATACCACAGATATTCAAACATCCTAATATCATAAGTACGGATTCTACCTCAACAGTTATTATATCCCCTTAGCAATCATAGAGTACCGTTGAGTTACATGAGCCAAAACAAAGAGGCATCAAAGTTATATGTAAATATTACAAGTCAAAGAATCAACAAAATTTTCATGGATCATCCAAAAAAAATCACACAGGTTGATATTATACCAGTTTAAACTTCCATGTCTAAGGATAAAGATAGCATAACTCGTTGAGTTTCTCAAATCGGCTACAACCAATCTTCTACCAAAAAGAATTCATGCCACCTGCTTCACAAAATTTGAAGAATCTGCTGTTAGAAAATACTAAGTGAAACAATGCTGTTATATAGTATATACTCTTTTAATCTGGGAAATTTTTGCTTTCTACTACTCCATAGTAATCTTCACAATACATATTTGGTGAAGAAACTTAATACTAGTACATATTTAATGAAAAAATTTCAACTATGGGACACCAACTCAGCAATCAATAAGCTTTGTTTCGTGGCCAAGAACCAAAAAAGGTTTGCATTACACATCAAGATAAAGAGCTAATAAAGCATAGTAGTAAACTACTTCTTACTACGGAGTAATAAGCAAATAAATGGCAAGGATATAGATGTTACCTGTTGCATTGGGTATCTCTTTAAAAGGATGAGGAGAACTTTGACTCATATCATAACTCTCAATTCGAGTTCTCCCTTCATATCTAAACTTCACAAGTGATTCTCTTGAACTTAGACCAACCAAGCTTAGATCAACCAAGCCTGGGGTTTCAGGACTAGTATAAGCTACAAGCACTTTATTGTTCATTGTGTATCCAATCAAGTCATCAAACTGTCCCAAGTCACAATTCAGACGAAGAGAATACACCCTTCCAGGACCTCTCAAAATGTCTATCACCCACTCATTTTGAGATCTAAAAACACACATAGACAAGCACCCTCCCATAACACATAACACAACACCCAACGGCGAAAGCACAGCCAAATGTGGGAACAATTTTCATGTTCCCGGCAGTCCAATACAATGTCTCATTAACCAACATCGGCTGTTCTATTAAAACATATGAGCAATCAACAAGATCAAATTCAATCTTTTTCCATAAGTTAGTTCTTAATGAGAACACATGAACAAATGTATCAACAAGCAATCCAATTTGGTACTAAATTACTCTCACAACCTTATAATCATCCATCGATGAAACATACCCAAATCCCCAACGAATGTGAGGAGGCCAATTACAACTAGAAATGTCCAAATCTTCAGAGAAATATTTATGTGATTGATTAGTACTAGGGTTCCATAAAATGAAATATTTACCATAAATTTCACCAAAACAAACCAACCCATTACATGATCCCACTAAATTAACCACATCATTTCCAACATCAAAGTCATAATCTTTCAACTTAATCAAATAATCTTCAGTATTTCTAGCAACTTCAGCAACATTATCATCAAGATTATCACAAGAATAAAGGTAAAAAGAATTCCCAGATTGGATAAACATGGATTTAATTGGGGGAATTGGGTGAGAATTAAAGGGTAAATTGGTGTAATTAAGGATGAAATTGGGAGAAGAAAGAGAAAAATACCAATTTTTTGGAAAGAAGCTTGTATTGAGCTAAGGATTTGATGGGCTGCCATGGAAAGATGAGATCATCAGGAAGATGTATTTGGGTTTCATCTTTTTCATTGTCTTCCATTTTTGATTTCTTCATCAATCTTCAAACTTTCATTCTGTTTGGTTAAACCTCTGTTTTCATTTACAGAGGATATTTGTTCTGCTCTTTGACTTTTTTTGTTTTTTTTAGGAAATCTGCTCTTTGAATCTTTGTTCTACTTTTACTGTATTACGGAGTACTAGACACTCGAAATTGTACAATGTACTACTGTAGGTCAGTAGTTTTTTTTTTTTTTTTTTTTTTTTTTTTTTTTTTTTTTTTTTAAAAAAAAACCAAAATTTTAACATATTCTGGTGGTTGGAAATTTGGGATCCTATTTTTAAGGATTGGCTAAGAATGTGACATATTTATCTCTTCATTCATATTTTCGTAAATTGTAAAATTCTCCATATTCACTTATTTAAATTTTTTTTTTGAGAAATCTCTCAAAAAAAAAAAAAAAAAAAGTAATTAGATTAGTTTCAAATTTCAATGCTCATTGTAGTTAGAGTAATATACGAGTACTTGTATGATTTCAGATTACATTGTTAAAGATTGTAGATGATGTTCTTTAATCTTTACATATAAGTACGAAATACATGGCTTTGACATTTTCACTATCTACATACTTTATATATTTCGATATTAGTAAATGCACATAAAAGCCGAGCATTGGCAAATATATTAGTCAAAACGATGAATTTTTACCATACTCGTGATATTCCCAGTCCCCCTACTAACTTAAAATTTTTTTGGCTTGTTTATTTAGACTTACATTATAAGTGATCCAAAGAGTATGTCGCTTTGATCTCACATTCATCACATTTGGTCCTACTAAATTTTATCTTATCAACTTCATTCAGTGGTTTTAGCCAAACAATAAAAGGATAGAGGACGTACAGTACTATTTATATGCTTTTTCATGCAATTAATCTTAATTCATACAACTCACACCAATACTCCATGAATCATTGATATAAACATAACGTTGCAGAGCTCAAAGCAGAGGTTGATAGAAATAGTTCCTAGCAAAACCACTAACAATTCACATCAGCAAAGAGTTTGTTTCAGTCCAATACAGAGGTCAGTGGCATCATAGAGCTTCACTTCTGCACAAATACCGCCACAGCAGCCGAATGTCTTCTGTCAAAATGGACTACGCAACCTGCCTCACCAAATAAAATTAACCTGCTGTTAGAAACACTCTAAGCAGTAAAGCTAAATCAACTCGATCCAAACCCTGCAATTGTTAAGCTGTAATGTTTGCAACAACAAAGATTTGGCACCATACCCAAAAAGTCATGAACTACAACAAGAAAATGAAGTAAAAGAAGCAGATCATACTGAACAAATATAAGGAAAGGTCATGGAGGGTACCTGTCCTAATGCATTAGGCAATTCCACTGGTGGAAGAGGTGAAACCAGACTCGGAACATAACTGTCCATATAATTGCTCCGATGTCTTGCATTAGCTTTAAATGTAACAATTGATTTCTTTGAACTTGTAACAATTAAGCATGGCACAAAACAACCAGGATAAACTACAAGTATCTTCCCAACCTTTGTCAATCCGATCAAATCATTGAAACTATTCACGGTCTTGTCCAAATCAGAATAACAAACCTTAACCACTCTTCCTAATTGTTTCACAATGTGTATCACCAATTCAGTATCAGAATTACGAACACATACGGATAAGCACCCTCCCATTACACACAAGACAGCATTCCCGGCCCGGGTGCACGAATAGCCAAATCAGGTAACATAGCAAAAGTCTCAAGACCCAAATCAAAGGAAACAATTTCCACATTCCCATCAACATTATCGTTCTCCTTTCTCCAATACAAAGTCTCATTAACCAACTTTGATCGACCCACTAATTTACATTCACCAACACCAAATTCAATCCTATTCCAACTGTTAGTCCTTAATGAGAACACATGAACTGAATCGACCTTGCCTTGAAATCGAAACTGAGAGATTCTAACCACCTTATAATCATCAATAGAGGATACATAACCAAAACCCCAATAAATTTCTTTAGAATCTTGCTCCAAATATTCCAAGTAATATTTATGAAATTGATGTTTGGCAAACAAAAAATACTTGTAAAATTGATTAATAGCAGGGTTCCATAAAATGAAATATTTTCCATAAATTTCACCAAAACAAACCAACCCATTACATGATCCAACTAATCCAATATTTTCCCTCTTACCAACATCAAATTCAGCATTTAATTCAACCAATTTATATTCACTAGTACGAATATATTCGACATCAACATCAGCATGATCATGATTATTGCAATTGTAAATGTAAAATCTACTACCAGATTGAATAAAGAGGGATTCAATTGGGGTAAAAGGGCGACTATATAAAGATGGTTTGATATAATCATGGAAGAAATTGACATTACAATCCCATTGCTTTGAAATTAGCTTACATCGGATTAACTGTTTGAGGGGAAGCAAGGGAAGGATGTGCTGAATTATGATTTCATCTGGAAGATATCTTTCTTCAACAACTTTTATCGTTTTCTTGCTGTTGTTATGATCGCTTTCTTCCATTTCTCTCACTTGTACTGTTTGTAATACCAGTCGTTTGAAGAATCAACTCCGAAAATGAAAACTGTTTTTCTTTTGAGTTTCAAAGTAAGCATTTACTTTTTCGCAGGAATGAGTTTTGAAGGGAAAATTCAAGTTTTTCTATTAGATAAATATGATATACAAGTATATTGTTTTGCTTTTATTTTCTAAATAATAAAAGTGAAATAGTGAAGTGACACAGGAAAAAAAAAATGTATTGTTATGAGAGGAGATTAACTTGGAATGATATTAGGTCAAAGTGGTTTCAAAAAAATAAATAAATAAATAAATATTAGGTCAAAGTATTCCATTTCACATTTAAATTAAATATAACTTTGAAAATAAAAATTGTTTTGATAGTAGCCTAGTAGGTGAATGTATGAATACTTGCATTGGGAATAGTTGCATAGAAAATATGTATGTACGAGGAAAATTGTGTAAAAAAAAATTAAAATTGAAACATAAGAGCTTGTTTGACATGATTTTTTGTTATCAGTTTCCTGTTTTTTAGAAAACTAAAAACCAAAAACAGAAAACAAGAAAAAGGTGTTTTTACTTTTTTGTTGTCAGTTTTCAAAATTATTATGATTTTAATAAGTTCAAATAATTTTTGATACATTTTATGTGACATATATCATATACTTTTATAAAACAAAAACCAAAAAAAGAAAACCACAGTAATGCCTCCCGAAGGGTATTACTACTATTAGGGACCATGGTAAACATTTCGGAAATTTTTATTTCCAGATGAAAAAATAAAGTCAAAAAATTCCAAAATTAAAGTCTAAGATCCATGATTGTGAAATTTTGGAGATTTCGAGACCCGGTGTCGAAAAGCCTTGAAATTTTAAGATTAAATCTAGGGGTCATATAATGCTGTTTGGAACCATATATGATCATTATATGTTGTCATAAATGTTTGTGGTATGCTTGAGTTAATGAAATTGGTGCAAGTCGTAAACCGGAAAATAGGTTGTTTAAAGGCAAATTGGAGGGTTCCACCCACACAATTGGACTCCCTGAGGGTATTTGGGACCATGATAAATATTTCGACAATTTTTATTTACGAGCGAAAAAAGTCAAAGAATTCAAAAATTGAAGGCAATATCCACGCTTTTTGGGAAATTTTAAAGTTTTCGGAACCAGATGTCTAAAAGTCTCGAAATTCTAGGGAATACATTTGAGGTCATAACCATATGTGATCATTTTTTATTGTTATAAATGTTCGTTGTAGGCTTGAGTTAATGAAATCGATGTAAGTTTTAAACTCGTTTAAAGGCAAATTAGATGGTTCCTCCCACCCAATTGGACCCCCAGAGGGTATTGGGGACCATGGTAAACATTTCGGCATTTTTTTTATTTCTGGGCGAAAAAAGTCAAAAAAAATTCTTAAATTGAAGGCTAATAACCACGCTTTTTGAGAAATTTCGAAAATTTCGGGGCCAGGTGTCGAAAAGAAATGAGATTTATTAGATACATCTCGGGGTCATATAATGACGTTTGAAACCATTAATGGCCATTATATGTTGTCAAAAATGTTCTTGGTAGGCTTGAGTTAATGAAATAAGTGCAAGTTGTAAACCGGTAAATTGGCCATTTAAATAAAAATTGGATGGTTCCACCCACCTAATTAGACTATAGGAGGGTATTTGGAACCATGGTAAACATTTTGGCACTTTTTATTTTTGGGCGAAAAAAAAAGTCAAAAAATTCCAAAATTGAAGGCTTTTTAAGAAATTTTTGAAGTTTCGGGGCCCAGTGACGAAAAGATTTGAGATTTTAGGGGATACATCTCGGGGTCATATAATGCTGTTTGGAACCATATATGATCATTATATGTTGTCATAAATGTTCGTGGTAGGCTTGAGTTAATTAAATCGGTGCAAGTTGTAAACCGGTAAATTGGTCGTTTAAAGGCAAATTGGATGGTTCCACCCATATAATTGGACTCCCGGAGGGTATTAAGATACATGGCAAACATTTCGACAATTTTTATTTACGATTAAAAAAAAGTCAAAAAAAATTCCAAAATTGAAGGTTAATATCCACGTTTTTTGAGAAAGTTTTATGTTTTAGGATCCGGTGTCGTCCAAAAGACTTGAGATTTTAGGGAATATATCTTGTGTTCATATAATGTCGTTAGAAAGCATTTATGATCATTATTTTTTGTCATAAATCTTCGTGGTAGGCTTGAGTCAATGAAATCGGTGAAGTTGTAAACCGGTAATTAAATTGGCCGTTTAAAGGCAAATTGGATGGTTCCACCAACCCAATTGGATCCCGGAGGGTATTAGGGATCATGGTAAACATTTTGGAAATTTTTATTTACGGGCAAAAAAAAGTCAAAAAATTTCAAAATTGAAGGCTAATATCCACGTTTTTTTGAGAAATCTTGGAGGTTTCGAACCCCGTGTCGAAAAAGACTTGAGATTTTAGAGAATATATCTCGGGGTCGTATAATGTCGCTAGAAACCATTTATGATCATTATTTGTTGTCATAAGTGTTCGTGGTAGGCTTCAATTAATGAAATCGGTGCAAGTTGTATACGGATAAATTGGTCGTTTAGATGCAAATTAGTGGTTCCACCCACCCAATTGGAGTACCAGAGGGTATTAGGGACCATGGTAAATATTTGGGCAATTTTTATTTTCAGGCGAAAAAAAGTTAAAAAAATTCCAAAATTGAAGGCTAATATCTACGCATTTTAAGAAATTTTTTAGGTTTCAGGGCCCGGTGTCGAAAAACTTTGAGATTTTAGGGGATACATCTTAGGGTCATATAATATTGTTTTAAACCATACATGATCATTATATGTTGTTATAAATGTTCGTGGTAGGCTTGAGTTAATGAAATCGATGTAAGTTGTAAACCGATAAATTCGCAATTTAAAGGCAAATTGGATGGTTCCACCCACCTAATTGGACTCCCGAATTGTATTAGGGACCATGGTAAAAATTTCGGCAATTTTTATTTACAGGCGAAAAAAGTCAAAAAAATTTCCAAAATTTAAGGCTAATATCCACGCTTTTTGAGAAATTTTGGAGGTTTCGAGGCCCGGTATTGAAAATCATTGAGATTTTTTCGAAATTTTTTAAAAAGCATGGATATCAGCCTTCAATTTCGAAATTTTTTGACATTTTTCTTCGCACGGAAATAAAAATTTCCGAAATGTTTACCATGGTTACTAATACCCCCCAAAGTCCAATTGGATGGGTTTTGTTTTCAAACGACCAATTTTCCGGTTTACAACTTGCACCGATTTCATTAACTTAAGCCTACCACGAACATTTATGACAACAAATAATGATTATATATATTTCTAAACAACATTATATGACCCCGAAATGTATTCCCTAGCATTTCAAGACTTTTAGACACCGGGCCCGGAAGACTTCAAATTTCTCAAAAAGCGTGGATAATTCGCCTTCAAATTTTTTAATTTTTTGACTTTTTTTCGACCGGAAATAAAAATTGTCAAAATGTTAACTATGGTCCATAATACCCTCTCGGAGTTCAATTAGGTAGGTGGAACCATCCAATTTGTCTTTAAAAGACCAATATACCGATTTACAACTTGCACCGATTTCATTAACTCAAGCCTACCACGAACATTTATGACAACATATAATGATCATATATGGTTCCAAACGGTATTATATGACCCTGAGATGTATCCCCTAAAATCTTAAGGATTTTCGACAACGGTAATCCGAAACCTCCAAAATTTCTCAAAAAACGTGGATATTAGCCTTCAATTTTTGAATTTTTTAACTTTTTTTCGCCAGAAAATAAAAATATCCGAAATGTTAACCATGTTCCCTAATATTCTCTGGGAGTCCAATTGTGTGAGTGGAACCATCCTATTTTCCTTTAAACGACCTATTTACCGGTTTACAACTTGCACCGATTTCATTAACTCAAGCTTACTATGAACATTTATGACAACATATAATGGTCATATATGGTTCCAAACGGCTTTATATGACCCTTATATGTAGTCCTAAAATTTCAAGACTTTTCGACACCGGGCCTCGAAATCTCCAAAAATTTTCAACAAGTATGGATCTTAGACTTTAACTTTGGAATTTTTTGACTTTTTTTTCGCCCGTAAATAAAAATTGTCGAATACTTACCATGGTCCCTAATACCCTTCGGTAGGCCAATTGTGATGGGTGGAACTATCCAATTTTCCTTTAAACGGCCAATTTACCGATTTACTACTTGCACCGATTTCATTAATTCAAGCCTACCACGATTTATGACAACATATAATGATCATATATTGTTCCAAACGGCATTATATGAATCTGAGACGTATCCCCTAAAATCTCAAACCTTTTCGACATCGGGCCCTTAAACCTCTAAAATTTCTCAAAAAACGTGAATATTAGCCTTAATTTTGGAATTTTTAAAATTTTTTTGCCCATAAATAAAAATTTCCGAAAAGTTTACCATGGTCTCTAATACCCTCTTGAAAGTCCAATTGGGTGGGTGGAACCATCCAATTTGCTTTTAAATGGCCAATTTATATTACCGATTTACAACTTGCACCGATTTCATTAATTCAAGCACACCACGAACATTTATGACAACATATAATGATCATATATGGTTTCAAACGACATTATATGACCCCGAGACGTTTCTCCTAAATTCTCAAACAATTTTGACACCGGGCCCCGAAACCTACAAAATTTCTCAAAAGCGTAGATATTAGCTTTCAATATTTGAATTTTTTGCCTTTTTTTCGCCCGAAAATAAAAATTGACGACATGTTATCGTGATCCCTAATACCCTTCGAGATTCCAATTGGGTAGGTGGAACCCATATAATTTGCCTTTAATCGACCAATTTACCGGTTTACAATTTGCACCGATTTCATTAACTCAAGACAACCACGAACATCTATGACAACATACAATGATCATTTATGGTTTCAAACGGCATTTTATGACCCCAAGATGTATCCCCTAAAATTCCA